CTCTACCTCCGTCGTCTCTACCTCCGTCGTCTCTACCTCCGTCATCTCTACCTCCGTCGTCTCTACCTCCGTCGTCTCTACCTCCGTCGTCTCTACCTCCGTCGCCTCTACCTCCGTCGCCTCTGCCTCCGTCGTCTCTGCCTCCGTCGTCTCTACCTCCGTCTCTACCTCCGTCTCTACCTCCGTCTCTACCTCCATCGATCTCTCCCTCCATCTCTACCTCCGTCTCTACCTCCATCTCTGCCTCCGTCTCTACCTCCGTCTCTCCCTCCGTCTCTCCCTCCGTCTCTCCCTCCATCTCTGCCTCCATCTCTGCCTCCATCTCTGCCTCCATCTCTGCCTCCATCTCTGCCTCCATCTCTGCCTCCATCTCTTCCCAATCTACCTACTCTAATATTGCGATAAAGCGAAGTTTGCGCTTTTGGCATTTGATCTTGATGATGATGATTCTGGCTTTCTCGAGCGCCGTGAGGTGCTGGACATGTTGGCGGCAACTTTCGTGGGAATTTTATGAGTTTGAAATGGTGGCAATTTGCAGGCACTACGCCAGACCCCTCCGAGCTCAAGCGTGGCGCCGTTGCGTTGCGGTGCTTCCATACCTTGAAGACGGCGCTTTTGGTCTCACCTCACGGGCGACGCCATGGATGCCAACCGGGCGAAAAGGTTTTGGGCTGTTGTTCGGCCTGCTTTGACTGGTCTCAGGATGCCTTTGATTACTTGCGCATACTAAGTAAAGAAAGCGGAGAAGTAGCCTTTTAGGAGAGAGCTCTCTGGGGTCTATAAAGTTGACGGCACCACGATCATGAAGGTGCAGCTCATTTGGATCCCCTCTTCCCTCACTGGAGACCAGATCTAAAACGGGCTTTGTGAAGTTAGTACTTCTCCAACGAACTCGGTGACTTCAGTTTTTCGAGTAAGTAAATGACGTAGACTAGCAAGATAAATTCGAAGATAGTGCTAAGCGAGTACGTAGCTCCCCTAGCACTTCTTCGATCACATGACTCACCTTTTTCAGTTTTTCGAGGTCTTTGCGACGACCTTAAGCTGCAAAGTACCGGCGGCGGCGATGGCTAAGGAGTTGGCAGGGTAATCTTAGGCACTTGGCCGCATAGACTAAGACCCACAAGGGGGAAAGGGGAACTGATTGACCTGGCGAGGCAAGGGAAGCGAAGTGATCGCCTCCACATTTTCTAAAGAAGTCAAAATATGCAGAGAAATGGACAGCGCAAGCACATACCGAGTGCGGGCGTGTTGGTCATGTCTTTGCAAATGAGAAGGCGGGTCGGCTACCATCGTCATCAGCTGCGCGTCTGCGGTTCTTGTAATGCTACTTGGCATGATCTGAGTCAGATCCTGGCCAAAAGGAAGCAGCGCGCTCTTGCTCTTGGTCTTATAGGCTTTCGTGTCATCAAGAACGTGGCCAGCGCCAGAATTTTCTGGCCCATCGTGGCGGCCTCTCTCAGTACTCTCCTCGTTTTTTCCTGAGACGGAGCAGCCACAGCGCTTGTCCGTGGGTTCTGAGGTCGAGCGATCCACCAGCCGCACCCCTATCGCCAGTATCTTGTCCTCCAGAATCGTCAGCAGCTGCCACGGGTCGTACAGTGAGAGAGATGGTTCGCCCGCTCTATCCCGCGCAAGTGCATCGCCTGACGCCCAAGCCTCAAGCTCAGCGTCACGCTTGTTCTTCGGTGCGGGCCAGCTGTGCTAGAGTGGATTTGTTCGCCACATTTTCAACGCTAGCGAGATCCTCCGCAGCGAGGCCGTGCTCGGGGCTTGGTTTTTTCGCCGTGTTATTGGCCTCGAGGCGTATTACAACAAAGTTTTGCCATGGTCGGATGCTCGATCTTCAGACCACCACAGTCACAAATGGTGTCGGGAGGTACTGCCACCATTTGGGCCAGCCTGTCGAGACGAGCCCGTGTGGTTTGGGGAGCCATTCTCGGACAAAGCGAAGCCATATTGCACTCTGCCGCTGGTGGCGAAGTCGCCTTCATCAGGTGTTGAGGCTTCGCACCTGCAGGCAAAGCAAGGGTCTGGTGGCACCAAAGAGAGGGGAGATTGCGTCATAATTTCGATTGGATGCAAGGGCATATGGGCTGCCGAAGTCGAAATGTTTCGCACGATTAAATGCGCAATCCACACCTTCGACTGCACAGGAAGCTTTGGGGCCTTGGTGGAAATCCGCAGTCGGACTACTTTTCCTAAGATCTGCCTCGGGTCTGAAGACAGGCTCATCCATTCGACAAAGCCGAATTCTTGTGCCGGCGCTACCATGCAGTATCTAACTTGGCCCTCGATTTATGAACGAGAGCAGCCATGTGCATGCTTCTGAAGGGGCATACACGGCGCAGGGGTCGGATGGATAACAAGCACACGAGTGAGAAATGGCGATGGGATGGTGGGATCGAACTATCCTAATCGCGCCAAAGATTTCCATGGAGAGGGGTCGGAACATCAAGGAGAGGGAGCGGAATGCCCTCCGCGCGGGCCTTTTCACTGCCTACATTCATTTTGGGCCCTTAGTATTTTTGGCTGTCTGTTTGGTTTTTTTCTCCTAGTTCTAGACGCCTTTTCATTGGGGTGTCGTAAGTATGCAGTTTCCTGCGTCATCTTCGTCGTGTTTGGGTTCTAACGAGTGCTGAAGGCCGCTGGAATTGACGAGGGGCCCGCGGCGTTTCTGAAGATGGACATCGAAGGTTTCGGGTCTTCCGCTGTGCGGTGCCTCATTGTTACAGGCGGCCCGCCAAAGTTCTGCCACCGGGCTGGGAATTGCGCAAGAGTTTGAAAGTGTTGCGAATGATGAAGCTACAGGAAAATCTTGCGCGGGCATGGAGGGCGGAAAGGCTGAAGCCCTTCAGGCGCGTACTGCGTCGGGGTGTTTTGCTTTGTTTCTTGTCGTTAGGTAGTGCGGCGTGGCGTCGTTTGGCTGCGTATGGGCTGCGCAGTCGCCCGCCGCGGGTCCTTTCAAGCACCTGGGGAAAGTCTGCGCACCGCGCTCTTATGGTGATGGTGTGCGCCCGCTTGGGTTCTCGGATGCATTCGGCGGACGCCGCGCTCCGCTCAGGGTTGGGGGGCTGCACAGCATGTCCAGCCTTTTGTTGCACCATCGAGCTGCGCGCGCCGGTTTTTTGAAAGCTTTCGCGCGCTGGTCTGGCTGTGGGCTGTCCGCGGAAGTGGCCGGGCGCACGCACCGCGCAGCACCCGCGGCAGGTGCGTGCTGGCGCTCCAAATGAACGACGAGGCAGGGGGGGCGGATTTGCCTGGTTTCTTTGTTTCTGCGCGCGCCGATGTCGGTCGCCGCTGGCTTCGTTTTCGGTGCGTGGTTTGCGTCTTGCGCACTTTAAAGTGGTGCAGCATGTCTTGAAGAGAGGGCACGGCCATGGATCGGCCGCCCCCTCCGAAATATGGAGGGACCCATCGGGGCGCGAAAAATGGGCTGCGGATGGCGACGGACCGCAGCCACCCAGGAGAAGGGGCCGCCCGCGCCGGCTCTTTCGCGTCGTTCAAACAAACTGCCACACTTATCGGCCCCTTCCGCGTGGCCTCCTTTGCAGGAGATCAGAGAGGCTGGGCGCGGCGCTTCGTTCAGCTTGCTCGGCGTGGTGCATTGCCTTGCCGATCCTCGACGGGGGACAACGGTAGGCAGCGCCTGGCGCTGGTGCTCCTTTTCAACTTTTTCGCCGGGTTCCCTTGCGAAGCCATTGCCCGCCGCCACGCGGCGACCCCATGCCGCCGTCGCTTCAAGGAGCCCTTCGTTAGCTTCGGCCTGGCCGGTTTAGTTTGCTGCGGATCTGTTGTTTTCGGGTGCTGGCTAAAGTGTCGCAAGATTTCCAAACTTGGCTGTACCCTTGGCTCGCAAGTCTCAGCCTCGTGGCATTGGGCCGTTTCTGACGTTGCCAGTGGAATCAGCGATAGTCTTCCGGAGCAAATTTCGATGGAGATACATGGGAAAGCTGGAGACGGGACTCCGCTACTTTCGTGGACACTTCGCGGGGCGGATCAAGCAGCGGGAGTGCCCGGACCGTTGCAACGCTGGTGGCGAGGCGGCGATTATGTGAGAGAGCTGAAGCAGGGAAGAAATGGGGATGAAGTTCTCAAGTTCATGCTTATGCTTCACCGGACGGGTTTTCGGCTCACCTTCGTGAATTGGAAGGCCGAGTGTCGTCATTGTCTTGAGGTTTTTCTCGGGCGCATCTATTGCTGACTCTGGTCCCCGTCTTCGCGACGGCGGTTATTTTTCATTGGTTGCATACATTTGTTCGCTTTCAGTAGCGCGACAAAATTGGAGGTCACTGTATGCCCTAAGATGGTAGCAAATGTCACTCTTCGAGAGTCGTTGCTTTCTCATTCCCCTTTTCACGCTTCAGTAGAAGCAAGAGGAAGAGGCCATCCCTACACTCGAACTTGGCATGAAACGAAAGAAGGAGTTTGAAATTCATCGACAGGTCTTTGGAGTAAGAAACGTGCCCGCTCCGCCCATCTATTGCGCATGTGTTCCTAAAAGAGTGCTGCTCTGGTCTGGTTATGCCGCGTCAGGCAATAACGTAGGTGTCGTATGTACTGATTTGCAACACGCTATGGCGCCCCTATCATGGTAGTTCGCACTGAATTTTGTGCGAGATTTCTTGCCTTGTGTTGCATTTAATTGTTTGGACTCTCCTTGCTTGTATTTGGTTTTGTAAGCTTCTACTCACTGGTATCATTTGCTAGCGTGCGGTAGGCTCCATGGAATGGATGAGCGAAGAGCTGCGAGCACTCCGCGTCGGGTTTGCCGTGCCTAATCTGGTACACAAGATCTGGCACACTCACTGCGTACAAAATGCAGGATGTTTTGTGAGCGTCTGTGCGTGCGATACCGTGAAGACAGAACTTTTTCGCTATAAGTGGGGCGCATGATATATAAGTCGTACGCGCTGCACTTGCGGCTCAAAGAACAAAGGACTTGCTCCGCATGTTGTGACTCTGTTCAGGGCAGCAATAGCTCACTGAGAATGGTGGAGGAGTAACCACGAGCCGTTCCCAGTAAGGATCTTCATTACAACAATAGCAAGCTCTTGTGATCATGGAAATGCTACCTCTTGGTCTTGTTTTACATTTTTTCATCTTGCTTGATAGCTCTAGGAATCGCCCTCGGAAAGTAAGACTACTAGAACAGAAACTACTAAAAGAATACGACATGGCAGTGCCAGTTCCGATTGGTGGGCACAAAAGTGCTGCAGCCTCCGAAAAGGATCGCTCGTTGCCCGCATGGCTCAAGGGGCGCGCGGTCTTCCCACAGCCTCCTCCTTACGATTATAATACCGTAAATAGAAGTTATTCTATCGAGGTAATCAATTAGACTATATTAAAGGTCGCCGTCGCGTCTGTCTTGCCCATGTCGTCGGTTTTGATGTTGTGACACTTGCTAAAACGCCCAGCATCTGCTAATAGTGGCGAAAGATTATTATCATCTAAACTCTAGTGTGTGCGTTATGTCTACGATTCGATGAGCTAAACGCAGGGTCTGAAAAATAACTTACCGACCTACAATCCAGTCCTTTCGTCATCGTATTAATCGCGCCGATGGCGTTTCAGGTCTATTGAATAAGTTCGTATAAATATTTTTAATCGGAGTAGTTTGTGCAGAATGCAGCTCCTGTTCTGTTGTTGCACAACAGGACAGCAGAGAGTTCGAGCCTAACCCCATTCCTTTTTGGCGGTTACAGGATAGAAAAAACGCGCTAGCTCGATGCCCTCTTTGTTTGGAAGAAAGAGTCTGGCTTCTGCACTCCCTCGCCGCCATCTTTGACATAGAAGACACCCTCACCTCCATTTCCTCTCTCTCGTCTCTCTCCTCTCGCCTCTTTCCTCTTTGCTTAAGAAAAATATTAGTAAGAGTCTAAGTAATAACGGTGGGGGCCGAACAAGTTACGGTAACTGAACAGGCGGCGCCAGCTCCAGACCCCAACAGGTTACCAACAAAGTTCGATAGCCGCGGCGAAGTGGTAAAGTCCGACACCGGAGTACTACGCGGAGGAAAAAATGTATTATTCCACCCATTGAGAACCTAAGTTATAGAGCGGCGCTGTTCTTAAGTGAGAAGGGCCTAAAGGAGGGGAACAGCATTCCACATTCGACGTTCTCAATAAGTGGAAACATTCAAAAAAGACTAAGGCCCGGCCTCAAAAGTAGAGCCTCTCTCCACACGGTAAGTTAAACGGGCTGGCTCGTTTAAGGTCCTTGCCCTTGAAGCCTGGTGTGCTGGGTCTAGTATCATCATCATCGTCATCATTATCATCACCAAACGGGTGGCGGTGAACTTGAAGTAACCTGGCGCCGATGAATAAGCGCCGACTTCTGCATGGCACACAGTGAGCGCCGACTTCTGCATGGCATACAGTGTCACTCTAATTTGGTGTCGGCCTTTTCCAAACGAAGTAAGTTCCCAACGAGGAATCAGAGGACTCGCGACGAGTACACTTAAGGCTAGTATTTCACTATCCCATGTGGACTGAGTGGATTTTCTATAATCCGAACAAATACGAACGTCTCAGCTACCTGATCGAACCAAATAAAGCTCGAAAACAGGAAATAACCGAGTTACAGTACTGACTGAAATGAGGGGCATAACTTTTCAAGGCTACTCCACCTGCAATATCTAATCTCGGCTCTTCTCGTCTGTTACTCGCTTATTTCAGTCTATCAAAGCTGTCCGCTTATTTGAAGTCGGAGAAGATTCTGAAGGGTTGAAGAAATAGGGGAAGGCTCTTTTCAACCTCCCTCATTCATTGTTTGAAGTGGGAGATGGAAGGCTCTTTTCAACCTCCCTTATTCATTGTTTGCAGTGGAAGAAGATTCTGAAGGGGTGAAGAAAGTAGTTGAGAAGGCACTCATCAAGCCAACCACGGAGCGATACTAGACCCAAACCCTAGGACACAGTCGTCAGAAGAAGAAAGGGAAGACACTCAACCTTGCATAGTGCTGAAAAACTAGCGCTAATACACGCACCTAGAAAAAGATCGAAAAGTGAGCCGAAGCTCGGTCTTTGCCAAGGCCGCGAGAGAGAATTAAGGCCCAGGCTTCATTGGTCCTCACCATTTAGATTGGGGGTCTCTGACATCAACAAAGGGCGGAAGGCACTTGGAGGGGAGACCAGGTTCAAACTAACAACGGAGGGCTTGTCAAGTAGAGACGAGGTGAGGGGCCCTTCCCGTTCCGAGTCAGTGGCCAATGTTGACTGTTGACCTTTAAGCGAACAACTTCTTGATTCCTGGCATCCAAAGTCGGGCATATACCCGTAAGGCGCAAGAATGGATTATTTACTCCAGGAACCAATCAAATAATCAGCAGAGATTGCCACACTTACAGTCTTCTATTCACTTTCGTCCTCATTCTCTTACAACACGAATTGAGTGGTAACATGCTTACAATATTAAGTACTTACCTTGCCCTATCGCACGATCTTGATCATGAAGATTGGATGACGCCACTCATTGGGAACGAAGATGCGGGAATGCCGTTCCTAAGTAAGAAGGCAAATGGGGAACGGCGTTCCCCTATCGACATTCTCAAGGAGCGGAAGCATTCAAAGATGGTAACAGCTTTCTGTCTTTCTCTGTTATTTAGTGTTTCCCCTTTTTTTTCGGAAGTGGGTACGCTGTTCTTTTTCTTCCGTCCATTTTCTTTCAGAATTGTCCATAGGGTATGAGATCGCTCCACTTCGTTGGATTGCCTATAAAAATTTCAAATCTAACCCTTGGGAAGAGCTACAGATCGCTTTTGAGGCAGTCGATGTCTCACATAATGGGGAGATTAATGCAGACTCGCTCCGAGATGCGCTGCAACTTGCTGGCGAACCTGTAACAGTTAGGAAATGTTGCCCACTTAGGTATTACTTACAAAGTCTCTTCTTTAATTACATTTAATTATATTTATGAGAGGTGAAGTTACTGTCTTTTGCACTTTCTCATTAGCCATCGGTCAGCATCCCTCTTGAGCGGACACTCGGATAGTTAGACTTTTGGTGGAAGGCACTAACCCTGGCGTGTCCTCCTTTGTTCGGTTCGTGAAGATCGGTTATTCAGTAAGGTAGATTCTGTTCTTGTGCATCGATCCCAGAATAATACTGACTCTTTGTCGGTTTTTTTAGGTTTTGTGTTGCGTCATCCTTCCCTTCTACCCCGTATATGCGATAAATTGCACTATCTTGATCAAACGTTGTATACCGATTTAGACCAAGAAAAAGATGGCTCATTGCACGAGTACGGATGATGATGCGAAGAAGTTAGTGATTTATTACTTACACGATTACGGCTGATGGTGCGTTGGAGTTAAGGCGAATGAACCACACGACACCTTTGGGATGTAACTGCGGGTGAGCTAGCACCCCATGGCCGCAGTTACTTGCCTTACCCACTGATGTGGGAGCGCTCGCTTTTCCTCTTTGTTTCCGGTGAGACCTATGGTGGCAGGAGTGTGGCACATATCATACACATAAATATCCTAATATACTTATATATACGACTTAATATTGTATCTAGAGTAAGCGCTTACTGAGAATTAGCTAACCTTCTTCCCTCACCAATCCAAATATCTCAGTCAGGAATGGATGAAGAAAACAAGTGACGAGACGATACGGCGACGCGACCACATCGTGCTGGACTTGCTCGCGATTAATAAGCATTTACATCTGGGTTACAGCGTTATATATAACTATACTTATGTTACGTCTTCCTCTTCCTCCTTCTTTTTTTCCGTCTCTCTCTTTCTCAGTTAGGGCTCTACAGCTACGTGAAGTAACCTCTGATTCTTCATGATCTCTTCTCCATCATGCTCTCTTATGTGACCATGAGTGCGTTGGCCCTTTGGCCGGAGACTTTGAAAAATTTAAATCTTTTAAAGGTGGGAGTACTCATTCTGTCTCATACCAATCCCCACGTTCAAGAAATGGAAAACAAACAACAAGGAAGTAAAAAAAAGCATCAGCTCTCCCCCACTAACGAGCAAGTTAAAGCTTTCGTGTCCTTTCAAGCGTGCCCAACTAGATCAACCAGGAGATGCAGCAGCAAAGGCGTGCTATCGGTGTTCTTGTGGATGCAGTTGCGCGGCTGGAGTTTCTGGATCTTATCGAGAGAAAAAAGATCCAAATGAAGAAGACAGACGAGCTGAGGTCATGTCGATTAATTTTCGTAACGTAAAAATCGTAAACATATAAATAATTTTATCCTGTGATTAATGGCGGTGTCTTGCCATGGCTTTACCTTCCTTGTATGATTAATTTCTTGATGGAAATAGGTCATTTCTAGTGGTGTTCTGGCGCTTAAAGAAGCTCCTGGTAGGCCAACACAAACGAAAACCTGGACCCCCGAAGGGGTCCACGGACAACAACAAAAACCGAGCAGTGCAGTGAACCAGTAGGGTCAAGCTCTCACTGAGCACCATAAGGAAACAACAAGGCCGAAGCAAGAAGTGCGTCGTTGCGGAACGGTGTGCATGTTCTACATCGATGATGATCGCCCTAAAGTCACAGCTAAAGTCAGTGGCTTAGTTTCGGTGTCTTCCAAAAAGCAACAGCAAGGTCGTGGAGAGAAGAGGAGGCTTGGCGGTGGTAAAAGTGGGAAGATGAAAACTAAAGCTTACTGATACTCGCCTCGCGATAAGGAAACCGGTGGCAAGCCGCGGCGATAGAAATTTGCTGAACGGGCTACCGGTATACAAAAGCAAGCGGGGCGCACGCACACGAAGAAAGACAAGATGCAACGAGAAGGGACTGACGCAGCTTCGTTCTCAGCGAAGGAGGGGTGGCTCCTAGCACAGACTGAAGCGGCTGTAGATTATATTTTCCAGAAGTGGGAGACGATGAGAAGGCCAATGGAGCAGAGGCAAAGAGGGATGGTGAGAAGAATGCGAGAGATCTTGATGCTGACACGGAAGGAGCACCGCACACCACAGGCCCTCAAGGACCTGCAGAAAGCGTCCTCGGACGACCAGGACGAGAACAAGGGAAAGGTCGACGAGATAGACCAAGCAGGACCTGTGTGCGTCTTTTTCGATGAGAGCTTCAGCTACTACATCGGGTCGACCGGCAAGAGCAGAGACAGGCTATCCCAGCATCTGAGCAAGATAAGAAGAGCCACCTACTTGAAGAATTGCCCTAAGTCCAAGGTGTATGGACATATGAGGAAGAAAGCGCGGACTATGTTCTTTCTCGTAGTGAGACGATGCGACGAACTATGCTCAGCACGTGCCGCGGAGTGGTCGATGATCAAGGGGCTAAAGCCGGCGCTGAACATCCTCGGGGCGAATGGAGCAGATGAGAAGCAGTGCTTCGTATATGAGTCGAGGAAGAAGCCGAGAGGAAAGAAGAGGCAGAGGCCGCCAAAAAGATTCAGAGTGGGCGCGAGCTTCGTCAGGATTGAGAGCGTGCCAGAGCTGAGCGATGCCAGACTAGTAACATGGAAGAAGGTGGCAGCGTACCGAATGCGAGAGGAGACATACGCAGAGCTAAAGAGAAGAAAGCAGAGGGACTTCGGACTTGGCCCAGACGCGGAGTTCGACATGTATGAGCCGAAGCACTACGGCCTACTACTAAAGTGGGCCACACAGGTACCGCGTAGGCGAATAAGGTTCGAGGACCTAGAAGCAAGAGCAGCAGTAGTGTTCTCATTGTATAGCCTTTACAGGACGGCCATGAAGGTCTTAAGCATGAGGAGGCGCGTGATCTTCATGAGGAAGCTCCGGATAGGATGCAACAAAAGAGGGGCCCCAGGGTGTGCGCAATACTCTTTCTCCTTTTCGTTTGAGTTCGAGTTGGAGGCTTTACGCAAGGCAAGGAGCATGGTACTCAGGCAGTCACGTCCAGAGGTGGCCAGGTTCTTGACAAGAGACGCGGTCTTTAGGTACAAGAAGGTAACGCGACCCAGAATGAGGGAGCTCAGCAGCACCTCCAGGCAGGCAGCTAAGAGGGCACACTACAAGGCGTGTGAGCACATAGGGACCGCGAACATATACAGCGGCTTCAAGAAGATGGGCGAGAATATGTCTAGGCCAATGGGGCCATTGTTTGAGGTCAGACTCCGAACGCAGATCGCGGATCTCTTGGAGAAGTGTAAGAGGAACTTGCAGATTGATGCTAGAAGCGACGAACTACAGGTAGACGACAGTCTAGTCTGCAAGGAAGTCACCGACGGGACGGCCTATAATATGGAGAAGAGGAGGAGGCAGACTCGGAGCGTATTTTGCCAGGACGACAAGTGCAAGAGTAGGTCCTTCGAGGTTGGGGAGAGAAACTGCCAGCGACTCTGTTATCATTTGATGGACGTAGATGAGGCATTCCAGCGGAAGTTTAAGAAAGAGGCGAGGCCAGGAGCCAGGGCACTAAGGAAGATGAGCAGGAAGGCTCGGAGAGAAATACCAGAAAGCAGAAGACTCGGCAAGATGAAGCGAGTGCCCAGCGTGTACTTCAATCCGAAGGGCAAGTGCTTCAGCGACTCTAGTCACACATGTACGAAGGCGGCACCACATTCGTGCGCGAGAAAGGTCGTCTCATTCTTCGGAGTGTTCAGCAAAGTAGATAGAGGAAAGATAAAGAAGGCGGGCAGCTCGGTGACTAAAAAGGTAAGGGAAAAGTGGGCACGTTGCGCAGTCGAAGGAGACCCAAGAGAAGAAGTCGAGAAGGCCTTTGGAAAAGTCGTGGCAAGTAGGACTGGGATGCGCGCAACGTGTGGAACAGGAGTAGGAGCAGTATATCGAGCAATATTTGACGCAGTCAGTTTTTTCGAACAGATCGACTTGCAAAATTTCCGAGAGGCATGCGAGTCGCTAAAGCAGGGAGAGGCGCAGCAGATAAAAGACGGCGTGGATCTAGTCAAGGGATTCGTAGACAGCTACAGATATGCTGCAATGGGCCAGGGCCGAGTCTACAAGATGCGGGACGGAAAAGGTGGACCAATAGGCGGACCATTCTCGTCAACAATGTCTAGGGTAGCGCTATCATGCTGTGAAAACGAAAGTACCCAGATGCTTCGAAACAGTAGCTGCCAAGTGTTGAGATATGGAGACGACATCTTCTTCCAAGGAAACTACTGCCTGGAGTGTGCAAAAGCAATCGTAGATGCCGCATACAGCCACCCGTTTGAGTTAGAGAGGGACAGCACGAGCGTGGATGAGGCAGGATCCTCAGCAGTCTCCCCTTGTGTGGAGGTAGCATGGATGGACTACAACACGGTAGAAAAAGCCGACGGCGGCATAGAAGTGAAGCAAGCAAAGCGACTCGATCAGAGATATAGGGTGCCTATCTACAACAGAGCAGACCTGCAATATGCTCGAAGTATCTTCTTGGCGAAATTGGCAAGACACCATACCCCAGAGGACGTGGAGAGGTTGAGGGAGGATTTTGCTATGAATGGCTTTCCGAAGGGGGTCCTGGAGAACTTCTACCACTCGTCAAGATTCAAACACAGCGGAGCGATGATGGATCCCCCCCACCACGCAGAATAGTGCAACAAAAACAAGCAACACCAAAGAACGAAGTAAACAACTGGCCTACTGGGGAGTGCAGAAAAGAAGGGAAACGGTGGGTGTGTGTTCATTTTCTCAGACACCGGAGAACTTACAGCTTCCAGTGGTGATAAAGCTGGCGCCAGAACAAAGGTGGCGTTGAGTGTTCATCTAGTTTAACGTGTTCTGCGACAAGCCCGGTGGAATGTTCAAGATGGGCAAAAAGAAAAATGATGCGTCTTCCTCTGCTGCTGCGCAGTCAGCTTCCATCTTTGGTTCCCCAGATATCCCGCTTTCTCAGCAGCTTATGCAGCTTGCCATATCCAATGCCACGAACAACAATGCTAATGGCAACAACCACAACCGCAGCAAAGGGAGTGGGAAGCAGCAGCGCGAAAAGGTTGGATCCACCCAGCAGCAGAAGACTGCCTCAGGAGAAGTAGAAGAATTTGAATGGGATAAAGACCTTTGCCCACAAGGGTCAGAAGACCGAGAGGTCATGTTGTGCCTGTGCTTCCAAGCGCTGAAACATCTACGACAGAAAGCAACTGATGGAGGGATGCTACATGGGGTCGCCATCTGCAAGCGGGATAAGATCGAAATCGTGCAGCGATTTGCCGGGGCGGTAGAGGTGATGACCGAGAAAGCCCGAGAGGACACATGGGAGTGGTTATCGTGCCTCCCCAATGACAAGAAGTACCGCTACAACCTTGACTGGGATAAATTGGGCAAGAAGGTCTATGCGCTCATTGCCAACAGTGACAACGACGATGATGGTGATTCTTCTTCCGCCAGTAGTAGTTCCTCATCCTCAAGCGATTCGGACTCGTCTTCATCGTCTTCTTCTGACGACGGGGGCAAGAAGAAGAAGAAAAAGAGGCACCCCAAAAAGAAGAAGGGGAAGAAAGACGCAAAGTCAAAAGAAGGCAAGAAGAAGAAGAAAAACAAGAAAACCAAGAAGGAGAAGAAGGGCGACGTGATCGAAGGTGGCGCTGCTGAGGAGGAAGGCAAAGGTGGTGGCAAGTCGTCCGACAACAAGCGCCGCAAACTCCGCAAGAATGAATCGATCATAGCGGAAAAGAAGAAGGAGGAGGAGAAAAACAGCTTGATGGGAGGCATCGAGGACGACATCGAAGAGGACGCCCTGTGAAGGTGCATCCGCCGAACAACCAAGAACAAAGTCACGAGCTTCTTCAACTTCAAAAATCATGCCCCTGAGGGGGCTTCCCCACGTTCAAGAAATGGAAAACAAACAACAAGGAAGTAAAAAAAGCATCAGCTCTCCCCCACTAACGAGCAAGTTAAAGCTTTCGTGTCCTTTCAAGCGTGCCCAACTAGATCAACCAGGAGATGCAGCAGCAAAGGCGTGCTATCGGTGTTCTTGTGGATGCAGTTGCGCGGCTGGAGTTTCTGGATCTTATCGAGAGAAAAAAGATCCAAATGAAGAAGACAGACGAGCTGAGGTCATGTCGATTAATTTTCGTAACGTAAAAATCGTAAACATATAAATAATTTTATCCTGTGATTAATGGCGGTGTCTTGCCATGGCTTTACCTTCCTTGTATGATTAATTTCTTGATGGAAATAGGTCATTTCTAGTGGTGTTTTGGCGCTTAAAGAAGCTCCTGGTAGGCCAACACAAACGAAAACCTGGACCCCCGAAGGGGTCCACGGACAACAACAAAATCCGAGCAGTGCAGTGAACCAGTAGGGTCAAGCTCTCACTGAGCACCATAAGGAAACAACAAGGCCGAAGCAAGAAGTGCGTCGTTGCGGAACGGTGTGCATGTTCTACATCGATGATGATCGCCCTAAAGTCACAGCTAAAGTCAGTGGCTTAGTTTCGGTGTCTTCCAAAAAGCAACAGCAAGGTCGTGGAGAGAAGAGGAGGCTTGGCGGTGGTAAAAGTGGGAAGATGAAAACTAAAACTTACTGATACTCGCTTCGCAATGATGGTATTTTATGTGCAGATCTCTTTCACTCTTCCAGCACGACCTCGGTAGGCATCAATAGCTACATAAGGGCACACTAGTTTCCTACATAGTCTTCCTACTACAGTAGTTTCCTGAGCCTACATAGTTTCCTACATGACCTCGGTAGAGGTAGACATCAATAGCTGCATAAGAGATCGCTACATTTGGACATGACATGACACCTCTAAGACAGAAAGGGAGATATCAAACATGATTCGCCTGTGTGACGCGGATGCAGGTGGCTGCCTTACATTTGACGAATTCCGTAACCTCTTCGAGAACCCTGCAGCTCTGTTCAAGAACTACGACATGTTAAGGCTCAATATATCTCATTTCTATGAATCATTTCTCTGCGTAGGCTTTCTAAGGGATGGCTACGGGTGTTCCTGTTGCCGTTTGTTCTGGCTCTCTCTCCTAAGGGACGCGAAAAGAATAATAACAAACGAGATAGACGAACACCAAAAAGGGCCTACCTCTAATATTTCACTTCTGCGAGTCATTTCTTGCAGATTGATGCACTCACTTCTTTGAGTTTGATTCTGGAGAAATGAAGGCAGGAAGTGAAATGCCTTGGACTCTAAGAAGGGGCAACGTGGTCGCTCATCGAATGTTACGGCTCAACACTTGTTGACGCAAGGAAATATATACAAAGTAGAACAAGAAGTGGATGAAGAAGTACTTGATACCTCCAAAATAATGATAAGCGTTAAGTACTGGACGAATACTACCAAACTATTGCTGTGATCGTTCGAGTTCGTGGTTAGCAAAAAATGCTTCAGGCGTAGATCCCATGGAAGATGTGAGTATCTCAACAAAATGAACAATAATGTAGTTGTGGGGGAGTCCTCTACACAGCGTTCCTCCACACGGCGTTCCTCTACACAGCGTTCCTCTGCACAGCTTTTGCCCTACTCACTAGAAGTACTGACTTTGAAGAGTCCTCTGCTTACCTTCTTATTATGTAGTTGTGAGGAGCTTTGTTAAGAGAAGTCGGGGCCTTGCTTGTGGTCTTTATGATGAATGTTGTCGTGATAATAACTTCTCAACAAGCTAGGAGCCCCCCATCAAGAGTGTTCTTGTGAGGCGCTTATGCTTCTGCTCCTTCTAAGAATGGCCCTACTTGCGAAGAAGAACCAAGCTACCGCCCAGACTATTACTTTGGATAGTGGCGAAGAAATAAAGGATCCGGTTCTGAAAGCGCCAGATCTGTTCTATGGATGATGTTTTTTCTCCCATCTATTAACAGACCATGATCGAGGCTCCTAATGCAGCCCCTATATTTCCCCTTTATGTTGAAGGTGTATTGCCCGAGTAGTTATTTCCCTTGATGAAGGTGCATTATAGGTCAACTCAAAGCGGAGCCTTGATGGTCTGCATCTACCCTTGAAAGTGTATAGGTCAAAGGGGTGTCTCGACGTCGATGGTCTCGCTCCTGCATATAGATTAGAGGGGGGGAAAAACGCCATTCATATGTTCGACTTGATGGCTCAGATCGCGGAACCACGTGGAGGCATAAATTAAGGCTTCCCCTAGTCCATCTCTTGCTTCCTGAATAGCGACAAGAAGAGTATGTCCTTCAAGAATAGTTACCTGTATAAGTATGCCTCTCCTTTTGGTAATTACTAAGTTAGTTGATAGAATTACTAAGTATGCACCTCCCCGATAGTAGTGGCACAACAAGGGAGTAGATGTCGGCGCATATTATTCCAGCGATACAGCAAGGGAGTATACAGATATATTAAGCCCACCTAGATGTTCTACTTCTTGAGGGATTTTTCACTCTACAGCGGTTGCAACTACAAAGGCACTGTGTAGTGTGTTCAAGATCTGGGGGAGATCATCTAGCCCTAGGAAACAACTATACCTTCTTTTTATAATCCTCTCCTCTATCGCTACAACTGTTTACGATGCTTTGTGTCCTAGGGGGCGAACTGCATGCTTTTCTCGGTCTATGTTTATCGCTATTCATGACATTGTTTACGGTGCCTCTCTCGGTCTGTGTGCTAGGGGGCACACTGGCGAGACTCGGTCTAGATCTAGCTCTAGAGGAGAGGCCCTCTAACGAAAGCCGCAAATGATCAAGCGACTGTACGAAAATTTTCTCGAAGTCGACGTGGACGGCTGCGGTTTACTCAACTACCAAGAGTTTTGTTTGGCATTTGAAGCTGGGCTTGATGATCCGCAACTTCGAAGGTTATTCATTAAGGCTCCACCTTACAGGTATTCTATTTAAGTTCTTTCCCCTAAGACTTAAAAATTCCTAAGACCTTAAGTTTCCTCTAAGACTGACCTGACGTACTTACTACTTAGTAAGTTGTCTACTTAGGTAAGAAGCATTCCTTCTAGCTTACTGCTGTAAAAAGAATCTAGTACTTTGGTCTTCCTTGGCGGTCCATCTCGTCACTAAGGTTTACTGGTCTATTAAAGTTTCCATTTCCTCTACTTAGGAAGCTGCGTCTGCTATGTTGGGAAACTTCCTCTATAACTTAGTTTCCTCTGCTTTTACTTCCTCTAACTTAGCTCTTCCATTTCATCTATTTAAGAAGCATCTTCTGCTACTCTGGTTTTCGTTTTCACCTCTAGACTCGTCTTCACCTTTACAGAGTTGATAATATTCTAGAATCACTTATCCTCTCTAAACAAATCCACTTTGATAGAGCTGGGAACCAAGATGTGGAGCTGAAGAATGTCATCGTGGCCTTCTCAATGTTTACAGAAAGCAGTCAGACTTATGAAAACTAGTTGTGCCGAGCTCCAGGCCTACAACTACTAATTAATGTTTATTATAACTAGCACCTCCGTAGCTAGATGTTACTACACAACGTGTAGAGCTAATCGAGAACTGAAAATATGTGCGTAGCTAAATGAAGTAACAGAGTCACTACGTTGCTCTGGTTTCAGTATCTCGCTTATTTTAAGTCGTCGCTTGCCTATTTCAGTTTATCGAATGGATGCCATTACAATACGCCGTAGATGTTACTACACCACTAGACTCCAGGCTACGCGTAGAAGTAGCCTCGAAATACG